AGACTTGCAGGTGAATTAATTTAATCCCATGTTATGGAGGGGAACGGATCCTAGATCCTCCCCTTAAACAACTGCAAGCTGTATGATTTGTAAAAAGCTGGTTAAATGCAGTCTAAAAAGTACATGAAAAATCATGAGCTAGAAAACATCGAGGTTCGGAAACGGAGAAAAAATATTCTCATTGCCCGAGAGACCCTCAGTCAGACATGATTGACAGGTGTTTCAGACCTCCAGAAAATATCCAAGAGTGATCACCTTCAGCAGCACTTCATATTAAGGGTTAGACTCACCACCAGTATTACTACCATTTATTTTGATGATCCACCTGGAAAAATAACATTATATACCTTTAACTTTCAAAGTTATATGTCATATGTTCAGAGATGGGAAGTAACGAAGTACAAATACTTTGTTACTGTACTCAAGTAGATTTTTCTGATATTTTTACTTTACTTTACTACTTATTTTTATGGCGACTTTTTACTTCTACTCCTTACATTTTTACACAAATATCTGTCCCTTCTACTCCTTACATTTTAAAAAATTGGCTCGTTACTTTAGTTTTAAATCATTTCAAAAGAGTTACCGTTATTATTTTTCACGTCATCAATACCAAATTCAATCTAATTGGATGGGAATCTACGTTGCATTTGACGCACCACTGCAAGATGAATCGACAGATTCGGCGGAATTCATTCGTGGCAAATCATTGCAGCTTGGTGGCGGTGGCGTTAGCATAGTAGTATGGACGACCAGATGGTTGAAAATGAACACAACGGAGATCTAGTCCTATTGGCAGACATCCATTTAAAATGTAGGCAACGGCATGAAAAAAGTGGTTTCTACTTTTACTTTTATACTTTAAGTAAATTTACAAGCCTGTACTTTGTTACTTTTACTTGAGTAAAGAAGTTTAATCAGTACTTCCATTTTTACCAGAGTATTTTTTAACACAAGTATCTGTACTTTTACTTAAGTACGGAAAGTGAGTACTTTTGCCATCTCTGCATATGTTACTGCAGCCTACCCAGAAAGTATAATTAAGACCTTGAAAGAACCCATTACATTTATCCCATTAGAACGTGTTATTTAAGTGTGCTAACAGTAGCTAATCCTTTAATTATCCCACATTGTGGAACTTTATAGAATTAAAGCAAAGGGCAAGTACACACAATACAAACAAAATCACATAAGGATTGAAAAAATAATAAAAGTGGTCAATTATTAACTATATTAGCATTACATTATTAATACTATTATTATTCAATTGTAATATTAAATAAAATCACTGAAAGATCGAAAGTTCCATGATACATCAAGCTTAGATGTTAAAAAGTATCGGTATGGTATCGATATCAGCGATACTGACCCTGATTTACATGGTATCTTATTGATTGAAAATTCCCAGTATCGCCAACCTTTAGTCACTACCGATCCGTCCCAGAAACACGATTCGCTCTACAGATATACTTTCGGGTCGTCCTCGATTTCATTTTGTTAAAAATACCTGAATGACGTTTTCCCTCCCCAAAAATAGTCAACTTACTAAAATATAATGTGTTAAAGGTTAACAATGTATTTCTTGAGAAAATAAATGCCTTAAAATCCTTTCTTTGATCAGTCGTCTCTGACCGATCTGCATCGGAAATGGGATCCTGCGCTACTTCCGGTGGCTAACTTTTTCGGCTTTGGAATTGAACATAAATCTAGTGTTTTTGTGCTTGCAGGATGGATCGGATAGTGACAACCGCTGCGTCTCAATGCGCAGGCTGCGTCCTTCGAAGGATGCATTTCAAGGTTACATCACAATGCTGCGCGGAGGCCGTCCCATTTGGCAAAAATTCTGAGGATGCTTAAAATGCAGCCTTCAAATGCGTCCTCCTTTTCCCCGAATTCTGAGGATGCACCGCTACCATCCTTAGTGGCCTCGCCTCCCACTAGATTTCCCCAGGTGCTTTGCGCGCTTTTTTTTGTAGTAGAAGAAGGAGAGAGAGAGAAAAAAGTTGGATTTTCTTCAAGTTACGCACAATGAAAAGCAGCAGCAGCAGCGGCGGCAGTAATCCTGAGTACACGTTTAAATGTAAGTAGTTTTTTTTTTTTTTTTTTACTGAACATCTATTAAAATACATGACGGTAACGGAGCCACCAGGGGTGGGATCAGCTAAAGCTAAAGCTCAGAGCTAACCTGTTGATACGAGATGCTCATCAACATTAAAAGCCTTCATACAAATGTCATAAATTTTGATTTTAACATACATCTTCACTGTGCTGATATCCCTCACACATCGGATCGTTTTATTCTCATACAGTTTATTACAAAGGATTAGAACAAACTTAATGCAGCTGAAGAAATAACATTAGTCCAGCTGTACTGGGCTGTTAATACTGCAAAAATTTTGCTTGAATACTCAATAACGTATAGTTGATTTACAGTACAGTATAATAAGGTTTAAAGTATAATTCACTTGAAGAACAATACTGGCGTAATTATACAGAACTGTCATTTTGCCTTTTGACATAACAGAAATATGATTTACATGTCATTTGGTTCCAGGAAGCAGGGAGCAGACAGAGGAGTGGATATAATTACCACCTTATCATCGGGGCCAAAAATACTGCTGCACTCAGATGGAGGGAAGAGTTGAGGCAGAATTCCATCTACATGTTGCATTTCTATGTAAAAGTCACACAAGTTAAAAGAAGTCCTGTTCAAACACCGACATACAAATATAATCTTTTGATCACATCAAATGATGCTCAGATGCCACTTTTTGTAAATCTTATATTTGTTATAGAAGTGATCCTTGATTGTTTATCTCTTCTCATTTCTCTTGTTTAGAACAATCCTGCAAAAAAAAAAAATGGTCTGGAGGGTAAAAAAAAAGTGGGACAACTTGAAGAAAAAATACAAAGTGTGTTCAGATTTGGATAATGTAATGAAATACACACACACATAGATATACATATACACACACACACACACACACACACACACACACACACACACACACACACACACACATATATATATATATATATATATATATATATATATATATATATATATATATATATATATTTGTATATGTGTGTGTGTGTGTGTATGTTTAGGGAAATGACATCTTACATATTTTATATTCAGGTTAATTTACACTTTGAGTAAGCTTGAAAAAAGTCATCTCCAAGTTTCCATTCCAAAGTCGTCTCTTTTTCTGTAGAATTTCATCAATCCATCCAGTTCATGAAACACTCCTTTTTTCTAGCTTTAAAGAAACACTACAGACAATTGCATCTGTTGACACAAATTGCTTTCCTCTACTTTAGGAATGCAAAGATCCAGGGACAGGGCAGGGGGTCAGTTGGAAGCCTACTGCTGCCACCTGACCCTAGTTTGTCCTCATGGATGAGGTATTAGGACAGAGGCCCTCTGTTGCCCCACCTGTCCTAATTGCCTCCATCCCTGAGGACACAGCAGGGCCAGGTGCTGCAGAGGCTGAGCAGTATCAGGGCGACGATGAGGAGGAAAATGAGGATGGGAGGGAAAGGAGGAAGAGAAGAAGGAGTGACGAGTTGGTGGATTTAATCAGGGAGGATATCAGATGGCAGAGGGAGGCGGGAAAGGATGGACAGATTATTTAATTTATTGGAGAGGATGGTGGACAGACATTCATTTTTCAAGTTCAGGTTCTGTGTTGCTATTATAGTAAAATTAAATTATTAAATTGTTTATAAAAGTTATTGTTGTCGGTGTGTTACATTATCTGTTTCATCACTTAACTATTTACATTAGATTTTAAGATGTACAGATATATAATAAATATTACTAGAGAACATTATATATATATATATATATATATATATATATATATATATATATATATATATATATATATATATATATATATATATATATATATTTATATATATATATATATATACATATATGTGTGTCCTTCAAAGGACGCAGCCTTTGTTTTAGACTTAAAGGAATAGTACACCCAAAACATGATTAGCCTTCATTTTCTCCTCACCCCCATGCTGAACAACACTCTGGAGTACTTTTTTGATATCTCAAATGCATCTGGAGATCTGGGTGGCTTCTTGCTGTCTGCTGACATTCAAATAATGGAGGTCTATGGTGACCGAGACAGAAAGGTCCATAAAAGTCCACAAAAAACGTGTCAATATTCCTCCATACTGCTCGTCCAATGTATTCCAAGTGTCCTGAGTGGGTAGCATCCAGAATTTACTCGAAACGAAGTCATTTAGAATGTTTTTAGAGCATAAACAGTAGTGTATAGGATTTCCTGAAAGCGCGCACATGCGCGCTCACGACGCTACGGAAGCCGGCAGACCAAACCAGATGAAAGTGCGCATTCAGCGTCTGCTCTGCCAATAATGCAAGCATAGAAGAAAAAATGTGCTGTTTACCTGTGCAAAGAAAGAACCAACGAAAGAAAAATGTCTGAGGACTTCAGTGTTGAGGAAGAGCATGAGTTCTTTGCCGAGCTGAATGCGCTGGTTTGGTCTGCCGGCTTCCGTAGCGTCGTGAGCGCGCATGTGTGCGCTTTCAGGAAATCCTATACACTACTGTTTATGCTCTAAAAACATTCTAAATGACTTCGTTTCGAGTAAATTCTGGATGCTACCCACTCAGGAAACTTGGAATACATTGGACGAGCAGTATGGAGGAATATTGACACGTTTTTTGTGGACTTTTATGGACCCTTCTCTCTCGGTCACCATAGACCTCCATTATTTGAATGTCAGCAGACAGCAAGAAGCCTCCCAGATCTCCAGATGCATTTGAGATATCAAAAAAGTACTCCAGAGTGTTGTTCAGCATGGGGGTGAGTAGAAAATGAAGGCTAATCATGTTTTGGGTGTACTATTCCTTTAACGCAGCTAACCACTCAATCCGCCACTCTTTTATTTTGAAAATCTAGAAAACGTCATCAAAATATCTCCCTCCTTCCCTCACTCGGTGCGCCGCGCGCCTCATTGTCCCACCGGCGCCGGCAGGGTGACAGCGGACTGTCCAGGAGGAGAAGGGAAAACCGAACAGAGTTAGAGAACCGGGAAAGCTTCCAACTTTTTTTTTTTTTTCGCGAACCGCGATAAATTAAATAGATAATTAATTTATTAAACCGAAGGAACCGATGAGCGCAGCGGTCAGTTTGAACTTTATCCAAATAACTTCAGTTCGGCTGCACTCGATGATCACGAGGTTACTGGATCATATCAGCTGATTTCTGTTTGTGGCTGGGGGAGTTTGAGGATGAAAGAGAACTAAAACACGACCCAAGCGGTCACTTTGAAGTGGCTTAAATGGGACGGGCTCACGTGCTCGTGTCCTTTTACAGATAACAGCAGAGAAGGTGCAGCTGTCCAGACCCACGACTGCGCTACCTCTCAGGATAGAGACAGAGGACAGGACACTAAGGACAGAGGAAAGGAAATAAAAACAACCTCCACTCTGACACTGAGCCCAACAGATACATCGCTTATCTTTCTAGAAACCCGCCCGGACTATGGCCGCCTCCTCACAAGACAGCTGCCTCTGGTTGCTCTGGAGACGGACCCTGCTCGCGCTGTGGCTGTGCGCTGCAGCGCGTGGGGCGGAGGATGAAAGAGATTTCAACGCCGAGGTAAGAGCCACTGATCCTCCCTTCTGTAGCGTGAGGAGAAACAACAGTACAGGCGACCTGAAACAATGAGCTGATAAAGTTTCCTGCAGGAACATCAACGTGAGAAAAGAGGAATTCAGTCTGAGCTATGAACAATAACTTTAAAACATGTATGGATGTCCTAAAGGGTGGTTCGTTTCACAGTTTTCTGAACATGAACCCTGTCAGATGAGTTAGATCACACCTGATAACATCTGCAGGAGAACATTCTGATAACTTTATTTTCTGTGCCTGGACTTTGACTAGAACTAAAACATGAATCTGCTTTGTAGAGAATGACTGACCCAGCCAGAAAAACATGACTATTATTTAGAATGTTACTACTTTTACTACTACTAGTAGCCAAAATGAGTCCTGAATAATTGATATGGATTAACTGATAACTAGTAGGGGTGTACCTATAACTACTATGGGTTTAATGATAACTTGATATTGGTTAATAACCAGTAATAACTAATAACTAGTATGGGTTAATTGATATTTGATATGGGTTAACTGATAACTAGTATAAGTTAATGAATAATTAGTATTGAATGATTGATGACATGTATTGGTTAACTGATAAGTCGTATGGTGAACTGGTGACCAGGATGGGTTAATGGATAACTGATTAAATCATAACTGATATGGGTTAACTGTTTACTAGTTTGAGTGAATCGATGCCTAGTTCGAGTTAATGGTAACTAGTAGGGTTGTCAAAAGTATCGATACTCAAAAAACTATCGATACTGAAACGTTGTATCCGGATACAATACTCATTTTCAAAAGTATCGATACAGCCATCTAAAGTGCAGAATAGTGGAAAATGCACTTTCTGAACACTGTGTGATTGAATAATTCTCTGCATTTTTCAGTTTCAGACTTCTTTTTGTAACTGGTGCAGCTGCTGAGAATTATTTTTGTTTAACTGGTTTGGCAGTGTCATTGTTATGTCTGCAAAACATAGCCAAGGAAGGAACACTTAATTTTAATTTTGTAAGTTTTTTATCAAGCTTGCTTTATATTGTGCACAGCATACAACCTCAAAATATTATTCTTATTGTTTTTTATTTATTTCTTGTATTTTTTTTTAGCAATGAAAATATTTCTGTTGAATTTAAGAGTCTTTGTTTTTATTCTTGTGGTATCGAAAAGGGCATCAAGTATCGAATATTTTACTTAGTATCGGTATCGAGTTAGAAAGTTTAGTGTCGTGACAACCCTAGTAACTAGTATTGCTTGACTGATTACTAGTATGGGTTCACTGATACCTAGTATGGGCTAATTGATGACTGCTATGGGTTTATTGATAACTATTATGGGTTAGCGCATTACTGATATTGGATAAGAACTAGTAATAGCTAATAACTAGTATGGGTAAATGGATAACTGATATGGGTTTATTGATAACGGATGTTAGTTAATAACCAGTATGGGTTAATAGATGGCTGATGGGTAACTGGTATGGATTAATGGATAACTATTGTTGGGTTTATTGATAACTATTATGGGTTAATGCATTACTGATATTGGTTAAGAACTAGTAATAACTAATAAGTAGTATAGGTTAATTGATATTTGATATGGGTTAACTGATAACTAGTATGGGTGTACTTATAACTACTATGGGTTTAATGATAACTGATATTGGTTAATAACCAGCATGGGTTAATGGATGGCTGATGGATAACTGGTATGGATTAATGGATAACTATTATGGGTTAATGCATTACTGATATTGGTTAAGAAGTAGTGATAACTAATAACTAGTATGGGTTAATTGATATTTGATATGGGTTAATTGATAAGTAGTATGGGTTAATCAATAACTAGTATTGAATGATTGATGACATGTATTAGTTAACTGATAAGTTGTATATTGAACTGGTGACCAGGATGGGTTAATGGATAACTGATTATATCATAACTTATATGGGTTAATTGTTTACTAGTTTGGGTGAATCGATGCCTAGTTCGGGTTAATAGTAACTAGTATGGCTTGACTGATGACTGCTATGGGTTCACTGATAATTAATATGGGCTAATTGATGACTGGTATGGGTTAATTGATAACTATTATGGGTTAATGGATAACTAATAAGGGTAAATGATAACCTGTCTGGGTTAATTAATAACAATTATGGTTAATTTGTGATTAGTATGGATTAATGGATAACTGATGTGGGTTAATTGATTACTAATATGGGTTAATTAAGGACTGGTATTGGTTAATGGATAACTAGTATGTGTTAACTTATGATTAGAATAGGTTAATTGATGATTATTATGGATTAATGGATAACTAATATGGGTGAACCTGTCGGTGTTAAATGATAACCAGTATGGGTTAAAGCAGCAGTCCCCAACCACTGGCCCGCGGTCCGTCATTTGGTACCGGGGCGCACAGAAAAAAGTATATATATATATATATATATATATATATATATATATATATATATATATATATATAAAATTTACCAAAGATCAGAGTCTTGAGTGATGTTTTATATTGAAAAATATAAAAAATTGCGGTATTCTCTCCAATCACATCAGTCGGTGCATCTGTCCCTCTTGACACAGGTTAATTCAGTTCAAGACTCATCCTATCTATAACATCCTTTCTTTGTGAAGCGGGTCGCTGCGGTCACAGCGACCAAAACAAAGCTACGGAGCAGACTGGACATCAGGAGCACACTTCGTCTGTCATTTTCTCCGATTACGCCTAGATGGGACCGGCTTGTTGTTTTATTTTTATGCTGTTTGTGTTTGATTTTATGCCAGTCATATCATTTTACATAATCGTATTTATCACCCCCCCCCCCCCACCCCGTGAAAATATTGTCTGACATATGGTGGTCCGTGGTGCAAAAAAGGTTGGGGACCGCTGGGTTAAAGGACCGGTGACAGATGAAGATAATCCAAAGAGCAAGAAGCAGGTGAAAAGTTGAGTAAAACAAAGAGACATTTTTATGGGATTGAAGCACGGTTGGAACAAAAAATGGTGGAAAACTGTGCAAACTATGCTGCTAGTTTGAACCTAAGAGAAGAAGCTGTTTTTATTGATGGAGGCTTCTTCACCTTCAGCCCCACTGTGCTAACGGCCGTAGTCTGGTCTGAGCTTAAGGCGTTTCTCCACAGCGCTGTTTTAAAGCCATGTTTTGAACCAGACTGACAACCTGATGCCCCAGTCACTGAGGGGGCCAGGCCTGCTGCAAAGGCACACTTTCTCACATTGAGGCTGATGAGAATGTGCGGGAATTAAGTTCAGTTCAGTTCAGTTCAGTTCAGTTTATTTATATAGCGCCAAATTCACAACACATGTCATCTCAAGGCACTTTACAGTTCAACCAGATCATACAGTCAAATTGATACAAAGTTTTCTATCTAAGGAAAACCAGTTGATTGCATTGACTCATTGACTCAAATACAATCCCCCACACTAAGCATGCTTGTAGCGACAGTGGAGAGGAAAAACTCCCTTTTAACAGGAAGAAACCTCCAGCAGAACCAGGCTCAGTGTGAGCGGCCATCTGCTGAGGCCGACTGGGGTTCAAGGAGACAGAAACAGAGATACAAAAAGCAGCTGTAAAAGGCGGCCCCGTCCAGGAAACACACAGCCAGGCAGACGAGCTCCAAGGCAGCTCCCATGCCAGAGGACGAAGAGAGCACATCCACTCAGTCACGGCCAGAGAAACAGGACCACACTGGAAAACAGGCCGATCTCCAACATCTATAAACAAGGGTGTTGATGGAAGCAGCACAGCTGATGTTTCTTTCCAGGATGACGTCACAGCCAAACAGGAACAGACGAGGCAAAGCTACTCTGAGGAAAAGCAGAGAGAGCAGAAGGTTAGAGATTGAACTAACAGATTCTGCAGAATAGGAGAACAGAGAGAGAATGAAGCAGAATGATGAAATGGGGGTCCCTATGTCCTCCAAAAGTCTAAGCCTATAGCAGCATAACTATAGAGATAGCTCAGGATAACCTGAGCCACCCTAACTATAAGCTTTATCAAAAAGGAAAGTTTTAAGCCTAGCCTTAAAAGTAGACAGGGTGTCTGCCTCACGGACTAAAACTGGTAGTTGGTTCCACAGGAGAGGAGCCTGATAACTAAAAGATCTGCCTCCCATTCTACTTTTAGAAATTCTAGGAACCACTAGTAAACCTGCAGATTGAGAGCGAAGTGCTCTGTTAGGAACATAAGGAACAATCAGATCTCTGATATAATATGGTGCTTGGCCATTTAAGGCTTTATATGTGAGAAGGAGGATTTTAAATTCTATTCTTGATTTAACAGGAAGCCAATGAAGAGAAGCCAGGATAGGCGAGATATGATCTCTCTTTTTAATTTTCATCAGAACCCTGGCTGCAGCATTTTGGATCAGCTGAAGGCTTTTAACTACAGTTTGTGGACTTCCTGATAGTAAAGAATTACAATAGTCCAGCCTTGAAGTAACAAATGCATTGACTAGTTTCTCAGCATCACCCCTGGACAGGATATTTCTAATTTTTGCAATGTTCCTCAGATGAAAGAAGGAAATTCTAGAAACCTCTTTGATATGGGATTTAAATGACAGGTCCTGATCAAAAATAACACCAAGATTTTTTACTTTATTATCTGAAATCAGTTTAATCCCATCCAAATGAAGTGACTGGCTAATCAGTTTCTTTTTCAGAGACTCTGGTCCAAAGACTATAACTTCTGTTTTATCTGCATTCAGAAGCAGAAAGTTAAGAGTCATCCAGGTTTTTATGTCTTCAAGACATGCCTGTAATCTATGTAATGGGTTAGCTTCATCTGGATTTATAGACAGATATAGCTGGGTATCATCAGCATAACAGTGGAAATTAATCCCATGCTGTCTAATAATTCTACCAATTGGGAGCATGTATAAAGTAAAGAGAATTGGTCCTAGCACTGATCCCTGTGGTACTCCACAGGTAACCTTTGAGCGTGTTGAAGATCTATCATTAACATGAA